AGCAGGTTTTAATAGAAGGTTTGTTTCACAGTACGGATTTCAGCAGGCCTGGGGCCAGAGAACAGATCTGAACTGGTAATGCACATAATAAGGAGGCAGCGGTTATTTTATGACTTAAGTTAGAACAGCAAGCGTGTTCTTACATGCTGTAGGATCATAACTCAGTGACAAGAAATTTCTGCCAATCCTTAACACTTCAAAGCAGTGCAGAGTGCAAGAAAGATTTGCTGTTTTGCATTGTCTGTAGATTTAAATTCCTTATTGCACAGTAAAGCATTATTTATTTATTTCTTTGTCATTTGGTTATTTATCTCTTTGTTGGAGTTGGTTGTGCTTTTACTGTAAGAATTGAATCTCTTGGTTTAAAAAAGAAGCCCCTGCTCTCCTTGACATGTATTTCCTTCAATTAAAAAAAAAAAAAAAAGAATTTGAGCCAAGTAATGCAGAAATAAACTGAAAATTTCACGGTCATTTATACATTACTACTTCGGCTACTGTTCTGTTGTAGAAATCCAGATCCAGAGCCATCTGTTTTTGTTATGTTTGCCTTTACTTTATTACTACCCTCATCTTCTAATTAACCTCTTTTATAGAAGCTGTTGAACTTTGCACTTTCTCTCACAATGATGGAGAGAAATGATCCAAAACCAAATGGTGTAGTGACAGTCGTGTATCATAGCTGCTTGTGGATTACAGTCTCAATCATCTAACAGATTACTTTTAATCGGGATTGAAGCAGACAGAAGTGCCAAACCTCATCTCTGATGAACATAATATAGATAAGTGCCATATTGCCATATTTGGGAGAGCAGGATCAGGTGAAAATACAGGAATTACAGGAAATGTGAGAAAATGTGGGGAAAAAAAACCTTCTTTACAGTGCATGGAGGTTATCAACTCTGGCACAGGCTGCCCTGTGGGGCTGTAGAGTCTCCATCCTCAGGAGTATTCAGAACCTGCATGGACGCAGCCTGCCAACAGCTCTAAGCTGACTGCTCTATGCAGGGATGGCTGGATTAGAAGATCTTCAGGTGTTCCTTCCAACATCAACTATTGTGTGGTTCTGTGAATTCAGTGTTTGCTGGACCGGCCGCATCATGGTGCAAATATTCAAACACTGAAGGTTTGACTCCAGATTTGCATTTTGAGATTCAACACTGCGGAGGTGTAAGTCAGAGCAGAACCCTACCTGAGACAGTAATTACTTACCAAACTATTGGCATGTATTCTTCATTTGATTTGCATATTCATATTACATCAATGGCCTTGCATGTGCTGTAAGTAAATGTGTAACTGGGCGTCCTTGGACTCTTGGTAAAATTTGGACATACCAAATGCACTGTCAGGAAGTGGAAAAAATATCAAATGTTGTGAAGGGCCCCTCACTCTGTCCTCCTTAACAAAATGGAAGTCCATTAATATTATAAAAAAGTGAAATTCTGTGTGACTTCAAACTCAGCACTTTTTTAATCTCCACAGTTAACATTCGTTCTTTGTCTCCTTAACACACCTTAACATCCCGTGCTGATTTCGTGCATGCCAGATCTTACCTGGCTCGGTGGTTCTGCTGGGATGACTTGTCTTACAAGAACCATCACATGCACTGACTGGGAATGGACACCACCTGTAAATTCTGTGGGGCACATTTTACTTCCTTGGTGTGATTTAATAAAGTAAAATAGCAGAAATAAACTACTGGTAGATCGGGGTAAAATGAGGTATCTTCACTGCAGTCAGTAACTATGTGGTTTAGTACTAGTGGTGGCAATGGTGATGAGGAGACGGTTGGACTGGATGATCTTATAGGTCGTTTCCAACCGTGTGATTCTTGTGTGATTCTTGTGACTGAAATGGCATTATCATTACTGAAGATACTTAGGTCCATTGTTTTCTTGCTCTGTGTGGAGGTTATAAAAGTCCATAAACTTTTATGAGGTATGGTTTAGATAATATTAGGAAATAGCTTGTCTGGAACTAAAATTATCTCATTGTCTGAAGCAGGCAGGGACAGGTTTTGGTCTTCTCTGCGTTACTTTGTCTGCTATAAAACAGATCTTATCTTTCATGTTCTATGGATCTGCTTATTAGATTTGTGGGTTAATTAAGGATCCAGTTCATAAGAGATCCATGAAAGGAAAGGAAAAAAATGCCTGAAAGGATGTTTATGTTCTGTTTTTGTTAGGGTTTTCTGAAGAGATTCTCAGATTTATGTAGATATCTTTATGCTTGTTAGAAATGTGTTTCCTTTGACGTATTCCCATCACAAATAATATTAACTGTGTTTTCAAGGCTGTGTAAATTTATTTATACATTAACTCAGTGACAAAACAAGATTATAATCTAGCTTTTCTGCCTTACCTATCAACTCAGCCTTCCAAGAACCAAATACTGACTTATCTCCATCCTCTAAAATTTAGTAAACAAATTTCAGCCTTTTCCAATCTATATAGGTTTATAACCTAAGCAAGTTTCCCTCTTTTCTTGGATAGCCGAAAGAAAACTGTATGCTTTTGCAATGAATGTGAACATTATCAGCAGACATAAATGTGCTGCTTATGGGGGTACTACTAATGAGAGACTGGAGCATTTTCTTTGCTAAGGCTTTTCCACTAGGTTGATATACTTTGTATCTTCTGGCAGCTATAGTTAGGGAATAAAATCATTTTCTATTCTGCTCTTATTTCGCAGAACCCAAGAAAGTTTATTCTTACTGATGGAGGCTGAACCTCGGGGAGTTACTGCTTTCATGCAGAACGCCGCTCTCAGAGAATGGGACTATCTGTCGTAGATCCCTGATTTGAGGCAGTCACTCCCAGTAGGAGTTCACACTGTGTTCAGACGAGTTTGGTGTTGTTTGCACTGACAATAAAGAGGGAACTCCACCCAAAAAGCAGAGCTGAGATCTTGCAGAGAACGTGGCTGAAGAAAAGCAGAGGGAGGAGCTGGAATTAGTGATATTCAGAGCCCTGTTCAACCCCAGCATCTCTATCCCTAAACCCCCAGATTTACAAATTCAGGACTTGTCAGTGATGCTGTCTGCTGTCAGGAAAAGATTTTTCCTTGTTTCTTTTTCTGTATAAAACTGTTCAAAGAATTTGACTCTGCTAAAAGTGCTTTCCTTCTACTGCATGCTTCTTAATTGGGTTTTTGGCATAAGAAGGGGAGAAACTATTTCTAGATATTAAGTAGTTGTGTGAACTGGGAAAGACTCCAACTTCTAAAAATTTCTTTGATGCCTTCAAAAATGTTCAAATTTCCAAATAATTTTTAGTCCTCCGCATGGTCAGCTGTCAGTATTTGATAAATAGGGTGGGGCCATTGTCAATATTTAACAACTCAGTGCTAATATTATTATTCTTACGCTGTAAAAATAACATACAAAATGCAAATCAAGGGCTTTACAGTTTTGTGGTAACAGAAGCAAGTGATAAAATTTCCCTCGCCTCTGTACCAGAGCATACAGAGGGAGGAAAATGTTACCAATGGAAACAGTCCTCCCTGCTGAGAAACAAAATATAGTGAGATTCCTCACTCTGCACTTGAAGGTTGTTGTGATGTGTTTTAGAGTAAGAGACAGTAAGATACGACCATTAATTCCAACCAGATTGCCAACAAAGTCTTCAGTGAGTCCCCCCTACCTCCATGAGCCCTGGAAATGCTCTGCACTGCTATCACTAACACATATAAACACAAACTGTGTTTTTGGAACTCTTCCCACACCTGGGGAATTCCTCCCAAAGAGCTGGAGACATAATGCTGGATGGAGCAGTCAGCGCTGTTCATGGCCATGATGCAGGAATTAATTTAGAAAATGAAGATGCAGAGCAGCCAATGTGAAATGAGTTTAACGAGTACCAGAAATACATCTAGATGTTACTCCCCAGTCACATCTTGCAAAATGTTTTCCTGTGATTTTGAATCTATAGAAACATACCATGTGTAAATGGTTTGACACTCAACAGGAAATGTTTGGGGTTTTTTTTGACTGAGAAGTAAAACGGAGTGTGAAATGGCTCAGCCACAACCACGCTCAGTGAGAGTCACGGTTAACTTGCCGGGAAGTGCAGAGTTGCACGGCTCGGTGTCCCCCAGCAATGTGACTTCTGTTGGGAGCTGAGTGAAGCCACCACCCCCGCAAAACAAAAGAGGAGGAACAGAGCCAGTTTGTTCAGGCAACTTTCAGACCAAGCATTGTTTCAGATTTGGCCTTGGTTCAGTTAAAATGTGTTTTATGTGTTCCTAGAGCTGTTACGTGAAGGGGACCCTTGTGGGACCAAGGTAGCAGGAAGCAGCTCAGTTGTTAGAACTGTGCATTGCTGATTATGCTGTATGTAAGGGCACGTAAACCCAGCACAGAAACACAAATAAGAGAAAAACATTTTTATTCCATTTGTTCAAAAATCAGATTGCTTTAACATGGGTTAAAACTAGTGCTTCCTCAAATCCTTCACTGTGATTAATGCACTGTAAACATTTCAGCCTTCACTGTCTTCACCTGATGAAGTGATGAAGAACTGTGGTACTGTCTGTGCTCATGAAGTCCTTTGACATCTACTGATAGTACACAGTTCTGTGTAGTTAAGACCTCTCAGTCTTAGGCAAACACTGGTCATAAATAGTTCACATAAATATACAAGATTTTCTTCTACGAATCAAGTTAGCTCAACCTCCTCTAATTTCAAGCAAACACCAAATTTACATCTGCTAAACAGAAAGAGAGTTGAAGGATGGGTAAGCATTCAAATGTGACTTTTCCAGACAAGGACTGAAACACAGGCGTCACAATATCCCAGACAGTTAAATCCTGTATTGTACTTATTCTGGTGAAAAGTGCGGGGCGTCAGTTTATAATTTTCTTTAGCTAGTAACTCACAAATCATGCAAAATTTCTCTAGTCATTTTAGTGTGGTCTGATTCTGTTAGAATAGATCTACTAATTCCATTCCATGGGGCAGCTATAGCTGAGATTACGCAGTTGATCGAAGGAAAGAAGCACAGTATTGATCTTGGTTGGTTTATTTCTATTGGATTTCAAACAAAGAAACAAAACCCCAACAAAATAATGATTTCCTTCAGGAAATGTTTGCAACCTTTGCAGCTTTTGTATCATGCATGAGAGGTATCAAAGGTTACTGCTCAAATGTAGCCAATGAGCCGTGGGGTGCAGGGGAAGGTTTTGCGCATCTCCATACACTTCTTGTCAATGAAGAAGGAGTTTGCCTTCACAGAAATGTCGTGTTCCAGCTTTGATTTGTTGTGAAGCAGCATTTGCAGAGTATCACGGGCTTCTTGCAGATGTTTCTTTAAGGTCTGTAAGGTGTCATCTATAGTATAAACTTCAGTGACAAGCCTGAAAAAAAGAGAAGGGGACAGGTTGCTCCAATAACTTTAGCAGTCTCCCACCACGTGCCTTTTTTACACAGAGCACAGATCAGAATCTCAGACAGAATTCAAACAGACCCTCTTGGTCTGAATCAACACGAAACCTATTCTTTGCCATACTGGCTTCCATAGCACCTGTAAGAAGCGTCAATTTCTGCTTACACTGACATTCAGCAGCAGTTAAGCCACTCAGCATCCTGAACGCTATCTTCCTCACCTGCAGTCTCCTATTTGGGTAGCATCTCTAAGGCTAGCATGGCCAGGTTGAGTTCTATAGTATGCATTTCTGGAGACCATCAGTGTAGTTCCATGGCCTACCTGTGCAGACATGGCAAGGATCCTTGCATAATCACCGAGTAAACTCTTTAATACTGTCAACCTGGTGTGCTATCTAATGTTCTATTAAATAAGCCAAGCACTGTAAGCTTTAAGAAACTTTTATTTTCTCCAGAATCCACGTCAACTTGTTTTGGGATAGTCCCAGCTTTTTCACCATGGAACAGCACAGAAAAACTAGACTTTATTAATTTGTTTTCTGTTTAATCCCTTAAACTACAAAGTTGGCAGCACACACAGAGAACAAATGCCAACATCAGCACTTCCTTTTAAATAAACAGCAAACTCAGATAACATTTACATGTTACAAAGAAGTGGTTCATTTGATATTTTCTTTCCCTATTGAGCTGAATATCTTTGTGCTTTAAACCAGCAGATAAATATGTGGAACAAATTATTTAAAAATGAATTAGTAAATGGTTTTGCATTCTCAGGTTGGAGTTCCTCAAAAAAATATATATTTTATCTGAGGTATAAGCTCAGCCAAAAACTGTGGTAGAAAAAGTGCTCACATTTCAAATACCCTCTGTCAGAATTTCAAGCTCCAATCCCAGTTAGGATGAACGTAGCATTCAAAGACTTAGATCAGCTAAAGCATCCAAAACAACATGATCTGGTTTAGGGAGCTGTGGCATAACAAAATTAATACTCATCAAAGCAAGGAGAATAAGATATGGTAATTATCAGTATAGCTGTCTAGCAAACAGTGTACTTGCATAGATATTTAGGTTGAAATATTGGAAATCGTATCAGACTGATGGAAAAATTATGTGTACGTTAAGGTTAAAGTACTTCTGAATACATGTGTAACTGCATGTTAAGTTCTTATACAACCTGTAAGCTGGTAAGAGCTGAACTGAATCAGAACCCCTACACAAATTTCATATTTATATCTTTTCACAATAGATGAAGAAAATATTCACTGATTTCAAATGAAGCTTTCAAACTTTCTGAGACACGATCCTTTGGAACATCAACAGTATCACTGGCAATTTTGGGAAGAAGAAGGAATAACATGACCCTCTGCTTCAGCACATTTTGATCCCAACTCAAAGAAGTTTTTTATTTTGGACACACAGTCCTGATGACTCGACTGATATCAATCATGATACTGCAGACATTTTGTGGAGATCTTCAGGGAGGAAGTGAGGAGAGAACAGACTTTGAGTGAGTAATAACTGAAGTTGTAGAGTAATATTTAAAGCCATCTTGGTGGTGGTGATTGGCTTTTCTTAAATCAATTGTTGATACTTGCTAATCTGTATTCCTAATCAATGGCACAAAGGTAACTGAAGTGTTAACTGATCTGCTCCCAGAGTAAAGGTAAGTGCTAAGTGAGCACTACTGTACACAGATCAGAAGCTTTTATTTATTCACAGCTGAACCGCATCTGGAACAGGTATGATTTGTGTGATATAAAAAGACAAACAAAACTATCCAAATGGTTTGAATAGAAGCTTTTGGAGCTGACAAAACAGGATTTGGAAAACTGCTATAAATCCTCAGACTAAGCATAATGTACTTCAGTATTCTCATAGTGTTGCATGTGGTAGGATTTTGATACAAATGTCAACAACGTATAGCTTCCTGCTTTCAATAAAATAAGCACAAATTCTCTAACTGGACTGCAAGATTCACTCCAGCTACAGTATTCCTTGAGAAATCTCCCACAGAATACTCTGAAGACTTGATGGGGAGGGAGAAAAATGGGATTAAAATTTAGAAGACCCTTCCTTTACTAGGGAAGGAAGACTAATATCTCAGATGCTGTTTTTTGTATCGAGAAAGACATAACTGACATTGTTCTATGAACCACAGCATAGGGATCAGCAAGCTGCTGCCAGCATGTTGGATAAGCTAATCTGTACAGTGATTCTGGACTCACTATATTGGATAAAAGCATTGAAAGCAAGTTCATGAAGAAAGAAATACTGCCTCTCTCTAATTTGCAAATAACTTTTAAAGGGGCCTGACCATTAGACAATTTTTGCATCAAAACAGAATTTTTCCTGGGAAAAAAAAATTCTTAAGTACGGTATTTCCCGAAGTAAATCTTGTTGTTTCATCCTGAATGGAATTAAACACAATTCCTAAGTTCCACTCAACATGAGACCAAATTCAGAAGCGTATCAGCCACCACCAAGCAATTGAACACCAATCTGTTCTGGGAAGGAGTCTCTAAACTCAACTACACTTCAGTATAACTGCTTGGATTTCAGTTCTTTCTTCCAGGATTTATAGTCACATAACGAATACAACTCTAATCCTGTTGAATCAATTCACGCTGTTGTTAAATTTCTTGAGTAGCTGACTGAGGAAGGGACGGGGTGGTCTGGCCTCTACTTACTGAAACTGAGGTGCGTCACGGCACAGTTCTATATTGGGTCGCCTAGTTCTTCCCTCCAGGCGTGTCTGAGCCACTTTCAGCGGGTATTCCTTCGCCATGATGGATCTCTCCAGTAGCATGATTGTATCTTCTGTCTGGAAGATTTCTTGAAGTACCTGAACAAGAAGAACATTTTCGTAAGCCTCGCATGCATCCAAATCAGAACTTAACTCTCCTTCAAGCAGTGCTATCGGAACTGCTTCCATCTGGCATGTCATTTTGTTTTGATTTAGGGGAGGAGATTTCTACAACCTCACAGCAATCAAATATATTTGTATAATCTGTTGGCTTGATCTTGCAATTTCTTTCAAAAGATATACAGCAATCACAGCTCATGGGAGAGCCAGAGGCCATTAAATGCTGCTAAAACATGTAATTAAGTTGTTCCTGCAAAACTGGGTATCAATGCTGGAGAACAACTTCCACTAAGAAATAAACCTTTTTTTTTTAATTATTATAACATGAAATAATTTTTGAATTGGAGTATAAATTGGAATACAAATTTATAACAAGCAGAAAAGAAGCACTGAAATACAGAGATGGGAAAATCCCAACTGTGTTTTTTTTGTGAAATGCCGTTTTTGTAGAGGCAGTGATAAAAGATAAAAGATAAAATTTCTCAACAAACTTTCATTTTCATTCAAACTTTCATTCAATACTTATTTCCTTTTCCTCCATAAAAATTCAAAAGCCATGAAACATGCCCCCTGAAATAGTGGCAGACTACAAGTATTTGGGGGACATTTGCTGTGTAAGTCATTTTTAAGTACTGAAACTAACTTCTGGAAGTTTTGAAAAGTCTCTGGGAGCTGTAGAGGAAATAACTTTTTTTTTTCTCTAAATGGAGACAGTATGGAGTGAAACAACCTCAAAAAGGAGAGCCTCACAGAATTAGAATAGCATAGTTCTTAGTTGCAGAGCATATTACCATATCATGGTATTATTCCCCAGCATACTGCAAGTGCTTTTTATTTGTTTTCATAGGTGTTAAAAAGTGGAAGAAACTACAAAGGAGAAGTTTTTTGCTCAGCCATAAAATAGAGAGCAGGAAAGAAATGTTTATGTTCTAATAATGTTCCCTAACTAGTTGATTATTACTTTACTTTCATTTATCACAATCAATTGCAGCCAATATAGGGAACAAATTCAAGCTTTTCCTGTAGACAGGTTTAAAATGGAAGAGAACAAACTGAACTGACATTGTTTCTCAGCCAGTTTACTAAAATCAATGCAACTTGAATTTCAGCAACCATTAAAAATGGCGTAATGTGCTTAAAGTTATGCTGCTGTTTTGATCTTGCCTACATATGAAGCTGTATCACGTTAAGCTAATGATGCACCTGGTTTGAAAATTGAGTTAGTTCTTGCTTCTGGAAGGTTATTTATAGGTAAAACCCAGAGGGCTAAGGATACCAGGAACCTGCACATCAGCCCAAATCTAGGAGCTTGGTTATGTGGTGTAGTAGAGCAATGTGAGAGATCTTTCTTAATTAAATAATCACCATAAACAAGCTGTGTTTTACAGGAAATATTTATGCAGATAGATCAGTGTGTTTTGGTAGCTATTTATTTTGCACACTAATTGCTTACAGTGAAAGCACATTGTTAGATCCACTGTTTTCTATATTGTCTACAATTTTACCAGTTACAGACTTATTTCTGTAGATTAAAAAAAATAAAACACAACAAAGGAATGAGACATAAAGAAGTCAGATGCCTTCATTATGCAGGAAGCCCACATCTTTCCTTTTCACTGAAAACACAGAGGATTTGGATCTTCTGCTGCCCAATTAGAAGGAGAAGCAAAATTTGATCAGCTTGTGCTGTTACAAGAATGTCACCATGTAGAAATGTTCTGTGTATGTTCACATCATGTGCAGGAGGTTATATGCAGCTCCCAGGTGTGCTGCTGGGGATTCTGTGAGCCTTTCAGTCCTACCCTTTGTGCACACCTTTCATCTTCATTGCCAACCAAAATATCAACCTATGGGGATGTGCCAAGGCTGTGAGGGGAGAGCGCGCAGTGCTTCTGGAGGTCACCCACTGCTTAGCACGGTCCTCCTTTCCTGTGTTTATGTTACAGCTTCTGTCTCTGCAGGAGTGCTTCCCATGCTACGCCTTGCTGCAAGTTATTGAGTGAGCCAAGTTCACTGGGGTGTGGTTATGTTACCTGCAGTGGGATTTTGTGAGGGTTTGGGTCTCCTACGTTAATTCTATTTACAGTTCATAGTAAATTGTGAGTAGATTTTTAAAATAATAATTTAAAAGTGTAAATCAAAGTAAAACCAATGAAACATAGTAGCACACATCACCTCAGCTCAGCAAGAACTGGACAAAGTTGTGTTTCAATTTCAGAAAGGATTTGGGAGGGTTATTTGTTTTCTGCTTAGAGTGAAACAGAGGACTTGTGTTCTCAGTCCTGTTTCTGAGTAAGGCCTGTTTGGTTCAGAATCTGAGCTTTATTGGTGATAATACTACACCATAAACCCATATATTTCAGCTGTAATTTATCAGTCCTGAGGTTGATTTCCTCCATGGCACTGACTGTGCTGTACTGTGAGTTTGTGTCCAATTGGACCTCACTGCCCACAGCACATGTAGAACACACATGGATGTTACCTGAGTGACACAGATGTGGGAGGCTGCACTGTCTTCTCTTTTTCCAGTATTAAGTTATACGTGCATTTACCATAACTGACATAAGCCAGTGGTCTTCTTGTATCTAGAAATGACTTAAAGTATTTAGAACTTGCACGGTCTGCAAATTCACACAATGACAGTGCTCAAAAAGGGCAGGCTCTAATTTCTGATTTCTCTTTATTGAGAATCCAGTTGTTTGTTGGTACCACGAAGTGAGCTAAAATCTAAAATTCACAGTTGTTATCTTATAACATCATGTCTGCATAATGCACAGTCACTACAAAGCACCATTGTGCCACATTACTTCACAAGTCCTGCTCAGAATGGTGCCAGTAGTGTGCAAGGGCATTATGCACAACCAAGACTACTGAGCAAATCCCTCACCATTTAAAAAAATAATAATAAAAACAATAAAATTATTTAAACCTACTTCCTAACTCAAAATTCAAATGTAAAGTCATGCAGCTATCTTCAAGCCTTGCTTGGCTGCATGTAAGTGGATGTGGTTCCTTGTATGTTGTCATTTTTTTCCTTGTTTTTTTTTTTAAGTGCTGTCATTTCAGACATGCAAAGTAAAATGGCCTCGGGGGAACCACCTCTAAAGCATCACAGAAGCTTAGTACAAACATTTTTTGATTACTCATTCGGGACACACATTGGATAAAATGACTTAGATAATCTACAGTGCATAAACTGATTGGTGGGGACGATCACCAGATAGTGTTGCACTGGTATACGTCATTTCTGGATGGCCTCCAAAGGCAGGAAGCAAAAACAACAAATGCTGAGCAGCATGTTCCTAAGAGACTGTGCTGAGGGATTGGCTCAGGCAGCTGCCCACCCGGAAACTTTCCCTTCCAGGACATGAGGAAAGTTTTGTGCTGCAGAATACTTGAGAGCTTCTAGAAAACTGCTCTCCTGCTGCTCTCTCACCTCACCAAGGCCATGATTTTTATAGTCTGGATACAGTACGACTTGGAAAAAGAGCCGCTAGGTCATACACGTGATCGGAGCAGTCTTACAAATCACACAAGTTGCCTTCCGTAGCAACGTCAGCAAAGGCTTGCTTTCTTTCAATACAGGCTGCCTTTACTGAGCAGCTGGGAGCATGTCCTTCAGTGTGAGAAGACACTGTGCAGCTAATGACACTGGATTCATGAGAATCCAAATGCATTACTCCAATTCCAGCCCACCCCCAAGTGAGTGCCGCTTAGCCTAACCCGTGAAGTAGAGCACTGCAGTGTGGCACACTGAGAAGCCAGGCTTCTCCTAAATGGTTTCTCCCCTTGGCCACAGTTCGTACTCTGATCCAGTCTAAGCAAGCCTTTATGATTTCATGGGACCAAGCAACCATTTTAGGAGACATAAATCTAACTTTGTTTTCCAGTTATTGCCTTACTTTTCATGTAAAATTTCTCTTGGTTTGTAAGTAAAAGTCTGAAGTATGTGCATATCTTTTTCCTCCTTCAAACAGGTTTTTCCAGGCATGTTTGAGCTGCTAAGACCAACCAGCACACACCTTCCCAACCACTTCTGAGTCACTCTTCATTAATTGTCTGAAAACTTTACTCTCAAACAGGTTCCCATATTAAACGATAAGATTAAGTGAATGAAGAATATACTCAGCCACCAGGAAAGGCATCAGAAACCATAAATTACTGAGTTTTTAAGGCATAAAATGAGGAAGAGAAAAAAGTAGCAAACAAAGACATGTATAAAAATATGAGGATACACCGGGGTCCAAGATGAAAGCCTATGTGGGAAAAGTGCCACAGGGAAAGTGCTCCCTCTCCTACACACATGCTCCATCCCTCAGCTCACAACCCTGCTGCACCCCTTCTTCATGCTTCTCATGCAGGCACCTCCTAAAATATGCCAGCCTTTCCAGATGCCCCTGCTCAGAGGAAGGCCGAGCTGTGTCCTTTTCAACAGCTGTAGGAGGGCTTCTCTCTGAATTTCACAGTTGAGGAGTTAGAAAATTATTTAGGAGGCTGGAGGGCAGTCCCTGGTTTTATTGCCACTGAGGTTCTCTTGGCTTTTGCTCTATGTTTTATACTACTTACAAAACCAAGTAGATTTATGTCTTGAATTAGAAGTTGATTGTGTAACTATAAAATGTATTCAATATTCAGTATTTCCCTCTAGCCATCATATAAATATATTCAATAGGTGTTAAGACAACAAGTTGCTTGGTTTTTAATTTATAAATACATTTGAATTTAATTAAAAAAAAATGTGTGATGGAAACTCATAGGATAATCTGTGTAAGTGATGGAACAACTTACTAAAACAAAATTCTATTGTTTCTTCAGGTATAGAGTAGAAATATATCAAGTAGAAAGGCAAGAAAGAATTAATTTCCATCATATACCGATGCAATATACTGCCTTTTCACACCGCAGGGGTAAAAAAAAGTAAGTAAGAGGGAACTATTTCTAAAAGCACTCATTCTCAATGAACTGAGTGGAAATACTCA